AAAAAGACTATGCAACCGTCCTCTGGACATTTCAAATAAAATAACAACTGTTACGTCTAACGGAAAGTATACAGATTTCTATACAGGTATGTCTTACAAGAAGACAGACTTTCGAAAAAGTCATTAAAGAAATTTTTAATATTAGTCTCTAAAGGGAAGAAACGAAAATTATTTTAAACCTTCTCGTTATTCATTCTTTTCTTCTTTTTTTTTTAATTTTATGCTTGAATAGTGCCAAACGCATTCACTGAATAAAGAATATTCATTATACTAGATAGATTTTGGCCCAGAATAACTGCTAGAGAAGGCTTTGGAAAGTCAACTACATTAATTTGATAATGAAATTCTCCAAATATAACTTTTTTTTAAAATAATTTCAATAAAGTTTTACACTAACTTACCTTGAATATTCCAGCGTTTGTTTTTTAGAATTGTAAAAAAAGAAAACTTATTGTCCAATCTATAAATTCATTAATAATTTCATAAACGGATTGAAAACTTTTTTATATATTCAATACACGCACATGTACACACTTGGTGCCTTTCGATAAGACGTCATGTTCCAATTAATGTCTACGACAATCACAATCAAATAATGAGAACAACAAGCAACCGTCATTTGCCGGGATAATAATCAATTTGATTTAACAACAAATGATCTTGTCCCAGGGGCAAATTATACAAGCACATTGACAACAATAATAATAATAACAACAACAATAACAACAACAACAAAGACAACCTCAACAAACCAAACTTGATGTCCGACAAATCTCTGTTTACATATTCTTTAATATTTAATGTTCAATAATAATAATTATGTTAGATTTTCTCACAAACGGAAACGTAATCAACACCCAACTCGTTGTAAAACTTAAACAAATAATATCAGAGGCAGCAGCAGCAGCAGCAGGAATAGTAACAGCGACAGCGGCAACAACATCATTATCAGTGACTGTTGGTTAATGCTGAAAAAAAGATGAACATGATGCCATCATAAAACATCATCACTGCCACTCAAATGCAATGCTACAGAGCACACAAACACACGTAGACATCTCTTTAACACCATCTCAAAAGCAAAACGTTATCTTAAATACATTTATGACAAGACGACAAACAAACGAAAACATGAAATAAAATCAACTCCAGCAACTTAAAAATGTTATGATATTAATGTTGCTGTTGTTATTGTTGTTGTTGATGTTGTTGTCATTCTTACAAAAGTTGTTGTGTGCGTTGTTCATTCTAAATGTTTTTAGAGCGTCGCGTTTTTTTCTTTTGAATGAGTCTGTTGATATTGTGTAACAAGAAAAACTCTTTATTTACTATAACAAACTTCATCACGATCTTCATCAGCAGCGGGCATTAACGCAAAACTTAATTTCCAATCGACTAACCAGTCAACCAGTTAGACCAATAATGAATTTGACATTTGTATGCATGTTTACGTTACTGCTTGTTGTAGATATTTGATTACATACATATGTACAGATGTCATAAAATCACATTTGTTAACCATTTTTATTATTGTTTAATGATTTGTATGAATATGGCTGAACGACAATAAAAATACTTTTTTTTTTTTCTTTTTATATCTCTAACATTTATATATACATATATAATATTGACGAAAATTTTCAATTAACGAATAAAATTGGTTTTTCCACAAAAAATAATCACAACTTGTTGTTTCATAAACCGTTTACTTTATAAGAAAACAAAAGAGAAAAAAAAATAAAAATAAAATGACTATCCGTTAATACGTGCATACACTAAGCCGACAGACATCTTGCAAAAACAAGAGCTCATATATGAAGTAGAGACACAGAGATGAAGACAATTGTTACGCCAAAGATAAAAACTTCTAAGCAAGCAATAGAATTAAACTTTAACCTGCATTTTTGATACCCTGCACTACATATACAATACACTTAACACAATTTGTTTCTTATTAATTTCAATAAGTTTCCGGGCTTTTAACACTTTTATAAAACGCCATTTGCTAAGAACAGTAAATTTATAAACCTCAGCTTTACACGTGAAAAATTTTTATTTGACATAAATCTCACGATAGAGAGTTACCAGCTCTGAATTAATAAACAAACGAATGTGAGGTACATGAAAGAGAGTGAAACATAACTCTTGTTTCAATTCACGTAGTTCTATGAGAGCTTTTGTTCTTTAACAACAACAAACGAAAAAACAATCGTATTAAGATCTCGCTTTCGGCACATTGTCATTGATAAGAATTAAGGATTAACGAAGAAGTTGTTATTGTTTTAATTCCTTTATTTTTCCCAAGATTATCACTTATCACTGTGGGGTTGGAACGAAAAGCAAAGCTTTTTCAACAAATTTTTGTCCTTTGAATAGATTGGCAAATTCTTTTGCGTTCTCAATTACTATATTATAAAAAAATTACTTGTTACGGCAATTTTAGAGAAACATTTTTTGATTTCTTTATGCCTTCCTTTAATAAAGAGCATAATCCAATCATACATGCGGTTTTAAAAAAAAAAAAGCACGACTGTATCTAAGTAGACATACGATCAAAATGTCATAGCAAAAATTATATCGTATTTGAGAAAGTACTTTACAAATTCAAGAAAACTTCCCTCATGACAGACAATATCATAAACCTAGTACGCTGATATGTCTTTAGCGACAGATCAAACTATATAAAAGTGTGTTTTGTTGCTTTAGATTTTTTAATCTTCCACTAACTTCCTTAGTTCGTTATTATGCCGCAACTTAAATAAATGCCTTTGCTTGCTACATGCTACATGAACAAGTTTGCTTTTGGCTTTCTTAAGACAAACGGCAAAAACACAAACATTCTTACAATTCTGTCTAGCAAAGTAAACAATTATTTTGGATAAATTGTGTTGTACGGGAAACCCATTAAAACCATAAATTTTGTCTAATTTGTAAAATTTCGTTTGTTTTTGTTAATTTTGGAAAATGCTATTGCTTTTCCTGATAATAGTGATTTTGTTTTTGTCGAGCGTTCATTATAAAAAATAAAAAACTTTATGCTTTAGCAAAAAATGTTGCTGCAATAAATCACTTTATCAGTGTATTATTATTTTGGAATCTAAAGATTATTGCTACCCACACTTTCATATCATAAAGCAAAACGGCCATTATCAGAGATTTAAATAAGTTGGTGCAAATGAATTCCTGTTTTTAATGATATGTGCAAAGTTTAACAGTTAGCCGGGTATAGCGTGATAATCAATGTAACGCTGTCGCACGATAGTTTTTTGGTCTGCAACAAATCGTTTCATAGATTGAAATCGATATAATTAGCAAAAACGTCTGGCCCGATGCCTAGTAAATGAGGTAGACTTGCCAAGGTATGTCAATATGAAGAAATTTTCCGACACAGTCCTATAATGTAATGCGATCTTTGTCACTTTCATTCTTATCTACTGTACAGGGACATTTAGCAGCCGACTATTTTTCCGACATTTTAATTGCCTTTCTTGTCTTTTCTTTTTTACACACATCATTTGGGCTCTAATACATTTACTAATGGGAGCAATAAAAGTTCTAAACGATCCTCTTGAAAGTTGGAAAATAACTACAGCAAGTATTTTATACTAAAGAACCAAGAGTGTCATCAAATCGCACAAACCAAACAAGGATGGATAACTAACACAGATCATAGACTATAAATTCTTTTCTTTTTTAAATATTTTCTGGATTTCAAGCGATCCTCGGCAAAGCTTTGATGTTATTGCCTTACTTTCACCTGGACGGAAGTTGTCCCAATTCTACCTTACACAAACTCATATATATATATACTAGAGCATTCTCATACAGCTATTCTGGCTGATTAAGAGTTCGTGCGGTGCCTGAGATTCTCAATATTTATGCATATAGATAAAAAGAAAAAAAACCATGTCCAAAATGTGTAAAGCGGGTAAGAACAAAATCGAACAGATCATTCTACGCCATCATCAGTATTTTGCAAAACCTTAACGTCGTATCCCGACGGCATTTTGAGGAAAACTTATAACGCATTCAATTCACTTAACAAACTGACTTAAAATAAAATGAAAAATCGAAAAAAAAAGAGAAAATGCATGAACGTTTTCAAAATGAATTTAAATTCAAGGCAAGTATTTGAAAATTGACTCATGGAAAAGCAAAGTGTTCTAAATTGTTAAAAATGCAAAAAAATAAAAAAAAAAAATAAATAAATAAATAAAAAAGTTAATGTACTCATAACAGCAGCCGTAGAGACAAACAACACAAAATCATGCCCAAGATCATTGGAATTATATTTATTTGCTGGATATGTTGTCTATGTCTACAAATCACACACAAGCAATTTATGCAAATTTGCAAATAATGCAATAAACTTTGAAATGCAAAGCAAAAAAATAGTAAATAGTAAATAGCAAACGTTACGAATGGTTGTTAAATTACAAAAAAAAAAAAAAAAAACAAATACACATATACATTAGCCTATCATCGAGTGGAGTTGAAATACTCAACAGTAGCTTAAATGTAAAACTCAACTATGGCAAGGCAGTTAGTTCATTTTTGGAGAGTAACATCTTTCGTATGCTTTACAATATAAAATGCATAAGTGTTTGTCTCCATATATATATGTATATATATATATATATATATATGTGTGTGTGGATGCGTGTTTTCGTTGGCATTGTGCATATATAGGCATTAATAGCATTCAGCAGCAGGAGATCACTGAGCGTATAAAGTTTTTGCCTAAGTTCGCCAGGCAATGTTGTTTTATTCAAAACAATTAATGTCACGATCTAGTCTAAATTAAAATATTTTGCATTAGAAAACCGCGAATAAAATGTTGGCAATTAAGTTAATTTGTAATTGCTTAATACGTGTTTTTATTTTATTTAATTTTTTTTTTTTTTTTTTTTTGTTCTTTCTATGTTGGTTTGTTGTCTGTTTAAAACGCTAAATGAATGGATTATTGGCAAAATTTTAGAGCATTTTATAGAATCACTTACATGTTTTCTTAAACTCGATTCCCCGACATCGCCTTTTGCAGCCTAAAAAGAAATCAAAGAAAAGAAAATTTAATTAAAAAATCAGGTGAAAATGCATCGAATTTTTGATACTCTTAACTCAAATATATTATATTAATATTATTCTACTATTCACCTAACTTTTATACAAAATAATTTATTGATTTTTGATTGTTATGGTTATTAAGTCAACGGCACGAATCGTGAGTGTTTTCACATGAAGATTGCTCTCAGTTGCCAGCACAGTACTTTTTAAAGTCTTCAAACACGTTAGGAGAGGATCAAAATGAGAAGTATTGATGCCTTAAGCTATCAATCTGATATCAATTTAAATATAGATTTGCGCTGGCCTTTTAGGTTTTCATTTTGACAAATTTATTCATTTATCATCGTCCAGATACGTCAGACATTTCATCGGATTCATAGAACTTAAGATAAATCTTTTGGCCAGAATCTCATCTGGAATGATCAACAATTAAAAAATAATGTTGAGCACATGTACTCCTCAGAACGTTAGACGTCCTTGTAGTTCACAGTTGTTTAATAACTCATTAGTTTTAGTAAACAGAAATTGATTGGAATTTTTTAACAATGATTTTCGATTCTTTTTGGTAAAAAATAATTTCTTTTCTTATCGGAAACATATACCTGTAACATATATGTTCATATACATGCTTTCATACATATTCCTTGATGCGTCTGTTATTGTACATAAAATATTTTACTCTGATAAAATAAACCTTCACATCGAACGGGTGGTCAAAATAATGGCTACCGGTATCTATTACTCTTTTAATAAATCGGGTTTAAATCCATAACTCAAGATAAGATCCTGAAGTTATCCCGTGTCCACCGATGCATTCTGTTTATGTTACGTTCGTTTAATTGTTCTTCCTTTACACTAGTTTTTCAAGGGCAAAAGAGTAGATGCCTGACAAACGTCAGACAATTTTTCAAACCTTTTAAAAACTGTCGACCTAGTGATCGAACCCGCAAACCCCGTGCAAGATCTCCATTCTGTAAGATATCTCTGGATTAAAAATTAGATGATCAAATCAGTCAAATTCTGTCAATAATTACGAAGCGAATTAATTGAATTTTGAACTGGTCTTCGATTATTGTCGTCCAAACTAAAATTAGCCAAACTTCGACTTCCCCTTTGCAGCTTTTACAGCATTTCACGTCCATTCACTTACTTGCTGTCGTACACTCCATTTTCTTAATTGTATCTAATCAACGTGTTTATGTATAAACGAGTTATGCCTTTAAAGGAGTTTATCACCAAATTCGGAAAAATTGAAATGATTTTTTTTTTTTTTTTAAATCAACATGGCGGTAGGAATGTTAATGTGTTTTTGTGTTGAAAACACATTTTTGTGTGAATTTTTCTATTTTATGTTTTAAAGTTTCAATCCCATTATCGAAAAACAACAACACACATATTGTATTGTCTAGATTACTGATTAAAAGGTAAGATGACAAATTCATTTTTAAGTATCATTAACTTTAACAGTTTTCAGTCGCTTATCTTTTCATTCACATTGTGGATAATCTAATAAGACGGCCTTTTTTTTAGGCAAAAAGATTCGCTTACTTATCCATTAAGATATGGTAAAGTTCGTAAATTTATATGGAGAGCTATCTCATAGAGTTAAGCTGCATAGAATTTCGCGACGCTCTATTTTACACGGCGTGGACGGCGTGTATTACTGATGGGCTATTAAGTATTTGTTACCTCTCGTTGTTCCTCCTCTCCTTAAGGAGAGTCATGCTTAAGAACCGGAATATATTTTTCTCTTCACCGGAGAGACCTATCGATCATCGATTGTACTCAACAGAATTACCTGCGAGATGGGGCTGGGGCGGGAAAGCTTTTGAATCCAGTGTGGAAACAAGGAAACGCCACGCCGACGATTCAAACTTGAAAAATGGCGAAGGCCATATCATTTGGAAATAGTGTCTGCATGGTGCAAGCAGATGTCTACGCAATCGCCGGATGTGCCTCTGAATGCTTGAGAAGACATTGGAGGAGAGAGCGAATCTGCATTTACTCCAACAGTCAAGCCGCCTTAAAGCCCCTAAAGGAGCGAATGATAAAATTTAGGCTCGTGTTGGAGTGCCTTCAAACACTGAATGAGCTAGGCAGGCACAATTATGTGCGCCTAATACGGGTGCCTGGCCATTCGACTTTCGTCTTTAGTCACGGGTTTCTACAGTGATCACAATTTCTCCTGGTAACATCTGAAAAACTTGGATATGTCTGAGACCGACCCATGAGGATACTGCCAAGGGACGAGTAAGATGTCCCATCATATTCTATGTGAATATGAGGCGATCCAGAACCACCCTGCCATCCCGTCATCATGCGTTTGGCGAGCATTTTGCCACGCCGGACACGGTGTGGTCCTGCAATCCAAAGAAGGTGACGGGATTCATAAGAATCCTAGAACTGGAGGCCTGGAGGCATGGACGAGTACAATAAATCTTCCAAAAGAGCGACGTCATCAAAAAGCTGTAAAGCGTGATTCAAAGCAATATGTATGCATTATCTTTTTATGTCGCATGCTCTCAATTCCAACTTTTAAGATCTAAAGAATGTAAAAAATAGATAGAAATATCTGAATACGACCACGGGCAAATGTTACTAGTTTCAGCATCCTCAGCTGCTAGATAGATTTTCCAGACATCACGATAAAACTAATATACCTGGATATAACGACGATTCCTATCCTGATGTGCTAATCAATGTTAATCAAGTTTATAAGCCAGATCAGAGGGTTTTTTTAGCGATTAAAAATTTAAAATTTAATTTTGTAACAAATACGTTTTTTTTTTAACTTGAGTGCCTCTCATAAAGCGCGCCACTTCATCACGACAATCAACGGTAGTGGTAATTGAAATAAAATGATTAAAGCAATAGCAATAATAATAATAAACTTTGGTTGCATTTTTTTTTTTTTTTCGTTTACTATCGTAAGGTAGAAGAAAGATTGAAAATCCATCTCAGCAACTAATTGTCTTTTTATTTTATAAGTCAAGACATAACGTAATGGATGTGTCTCTAGAACGCTCTTTAAAGCTTATTCAATAACATATTGAAAGCTTAAAACTCGAAAATATCTTTGGAGTTTAACAGATTGCAGAAGATCGTCTTAAGATCCATTTTGCAAGCAATGTTCCTCTTTCAAGCGCGCATCCCTTCTTGTAGCTAGGAGTGCGTCAATGAAAGTGCTCTCTAAACGGCAGGTGTGTACATTCACTTCTTGAAAGAAAGTATGCAAACTTTTCTTCAACTAAAAAAATTCTCTACCCTGGTCCATACTTTAAGACACGAGATGAATAGACATGTGAACTCGATTAGACCGATTTTTCTAATTCTTTGTACTTCTCAGTGACGCGTTGATGCAGTTTCAGCCGATCCCATATGTGCGTATCAATTTTTTACAAATATTCCATACATTTAATGTGCCATATAAACTTTCAAGTTTTTCTTGTTTCATACTCCCCATCGAGGAATAGGGCATCTGTATATACATTGTCGATTAGCGTGAAATTCTGAATCGATTAAGCCATGTCTGTCCGCCTATGCATATGTGTGGTGTATGTTGTTGATACTCTCCTCTCGTCTACAAATTTCATAGACATATTGGAAGTCGCACGCTGCACGCACTTTGAAAATTGCCCAAATTGCTTAGAGCACACGGCCGCAACACAATGTAAAGTGTATGCGACTCGGTTTCTTTAAGGGAAAATTTGTGGGGTTTTGGTTAATTTTTTGCATTTACTTTACGAAAAACTTTACTATTTATGTGCAACAATGTGCCATGCCCACACAAAGTTGTAAGTGATTTTATATTTTTTTCTTTTCTTTTTTGCTTAAAATCTGACGGATTCGAAGACTGTATAGGTTTCGTTTTACTTTTATATAACAATAAAAAAAAAAAAATTGTCAAATCAAAGCTTTATTTAGCTCGACTTTCTCTTCATCATTGAAAATTTCTCTATATATGTTATTGGAATTTTTTATTTATTATCCTTAGATTGATGCTATGATAAAAAAAAAGTCTTCACACGACTATTGACTGTCAAAAAAATAAAAAAAAAATGCTTCCAGAATTGTTTTCTTTTTACTTATTTATTTTAATTTTAATTGTGTTGTATTTTAAAATATATTCATGATCACTTCAACTGCAGCTAAGTTGTCTTGTGATAGCAATCGTTGTAAAATAAAAACGAAATCTAATCAATATATTAAATTTATTAACAAAGATTTCCTGGAAATATGTTAAATACTAAAAAACAGAAACACGGCAATAAATACGAAACCAATTATCAAGAAGTCAGTGATCTAGAAAAGAAAAAAAAAAAAAAAAAAAAAAGAAAAAAAGACAATAACGGACGTACAAACAAGGAAAGGAAAATTGAAAAAAACCCTTTAACGAAAACCAAAATTAAGGCGGTCAAGCTGTAAATAAATGTTTTAAGGCGAATTTTGAACACTCACCCAATACACATAGTGTCTATTAGATGGTGTATGCCCTCAGTTTTTTTTTTTTTTTTTTTTTTTTTTTTTGCTATGACTATTTTTGTTAAAAAACCGTAATCATCAGTTATATCAAATCAGATACTTGAGCCAAGTTATCGTATAGTGAGTTTATTATTTCCGAAATTTCCGATCAATGATTGATTTTTGCAAAGCGATTTAAAAATTAGTCAACTATTTCTTGACTGAATTCTAAATTCATGTCTAAACAAACAAGTCAGACTTATCGGCGGACATAATTTGTTGAAGGGTGTCACATATATAACAATGAAATTATTATACTTTTCCTATATACCTATATCGATATATATATATAAATAAATAAATTTACAAGTTTACTATAGTAAGGTAATAGCAATGTCACAAAGAGAAGGAAAGAGATAGATAGAGAGAGAGAGAGAGCGAGAAAGAGAGAGAGAGAGCTAAAGATAATATGAATACTAATCCGCATACTAAAATAAACTAAATCAATAAATAAGTA